CCTTCTTCAATTTCTTCAATAAATTCCTCTTCATCCAAGAAATTTATTTTTCACAAAATTCCCCTTCTCCATCGGTGTCGGATGGGACCAGAATCTTCTTCCTCATCTTTTTCAATTTTCTCTTCCTCTATATCTTCTTCATCATATAGCTTGCGCAACATTTTTGGACAACAACTGAATTCAAACAAACTTAGCAGAATTTTTTTTTTGAACAAGAACTTAGTTACACCCAATCGGAACTAGGCTCTGATACCACTTATGATACGTGTATGGGCTTGATTTAGTGAGTGGGGTAATTTTTAGGTAAATTAAGAGAGAATATCAACCACAAATGATATGTGAATGGAAAGAAATGGATAGATTAGTAACAACTCAAAACCTATTAAGTTGTATACCGGTGAAATCAATCCAAGACTTATTGGATTGAGTTCGTATCAAGTCAAGAACACGTCCTAACAAGATAATTTGCGAATTATAACAATAATTCCAATTGAACAAAGGCTTTTTTCTTAAAAATTCGTCTATTCACTTTCCCATGCATAAACTTGGCTTTATATGAAGCCTTTATTACAAACATGGTGGTTACAAGCCAACCAACCAATTATTCATTAAAACTAGTAAATGAAATTTAAGGAAACTCTTGAAATAACACAAAAAAAACGTCTACCACACTTAAGAATGACAAAAAAAACGTCCATGTCTTCAATTAGTCTTCAATTGCTAGTAATTGGTTATGAGAAGATGTAGAGTGTAACTCCCAAGGTTAAAGAGAACCATCAATGATAAGAGTGTAACTCCAAAGTTTAAAGAGATCCATAAATGATAATAGTGTAACTCCCAAAGTTTAAAGAGAGCCATCAATGATACCCTTCCAAATGCTTCCATAATCACCCTAGCTTTGAATCCATCAATAAATGAAGTCTTGGATTTATTAAACTTTTATTAATTTAATTATGAAAACCCTAATCCATCAACTATGTCACCATGCATACCCCATAGGCCATTAAGCCCAAACAACTTTCTAGCCCAACATTAAGCTACCCATAGCCTTTTGGGCCTTCATTATCCATATACGGATCATTCCCTCCTTCTTCGAAAGGAATTGTCCTCAATTCAGTAAGAACCAAATTGTGTTGTTCCCCCATACGAACCTTCCCTGACAGCAAGTCTTGAAAACAAATTTTTATTGCATAATGTGACCTTTTCTTTATTCCAACTTGGTCTTTTCTCCACATACACATGTTCTTCTTCAAATAACTCAAATAACTCGCCAAATTCAATCCTAACCGTATCTTCCATTTGTGGATGAAAAACCACTTCCATACATTCCCATGAACTCGGCCCTGCAAATTAACCTTGCAATAATTTAAATGGTTAATTGTAGTCATTTTAAAGAATGGATCATGGTTTGTATTTGTAAGTTGATGAGCAGTACGCCTCAATATCATGGTTTCCCAATTTAAGGCACACCAAAAGAATATGAGTCCAAACTTCATGAGCATCCTCCCATGTAAATACTTAGGACTTAGATCTTCATATTGATTAATTCTTTCTTCTTTGCTCGTAGAAAGATGGTTTGTAAAAGATGGATACCATCGTTCGTCTTTCTTTCACCACAAACTTCAAGCCTTCGCTCTTGGTGTTTTTGAACAACGAATGAAGAATTAATAAGATATTTTTGTTTGTGGACAACACAAAAAATTGGCATACGAATTGTCACACAATGTCTTTTTTCGTGACTGATTGCTACCACCATGAACACATCTTGTTTTGGAAATCATCATATCGCCTTTTGGAGCATACAAAATTCTGCCATCATCTAAAAATAATTGGTCTTGCTGTTTTTGAGTCTTGTGAAAAGTCTACATCTCTAATTGCACAAAACTTTTTATCAAAAGTAATATGCATGTGTTTTTTTCTCCTTTTGATCAATTAACGAAGACAAAACAAAAACATCACTATCAAGATCATAATTAGTAAAATCCAACCTCTCATACTTCTTCTTGTCAACATGCAAAATATAAGCATTCCATGGCATCCAAAGTGTAAAAATCTCCCACACATTGAAACGAAAATAAAGATGAAAAATGGAAATCCCCCACACTTTAGAAAAGGAATTGTGTTCATAAAAGATATGAGAACCTGAATTTTTGTGGCACTTATAGTCATTGGTTCTCAAGGTTGTGAGCTCTCGGAATGATTTTAGTTGTTCAACAAAAATCACCATTTCATCAACAATTTTGTTCATATCAACAAAATTAATTTCTTCCACAATTGCCTCAACAATTTCATCTCCGATCACAAAATTAGTTCCTTCTTCAATTTCTTCAATAAATTCCTCTTCATCCAAGAAATTTATTTTTTCACAAAATTCCCCTTCTCCATCGGTGTCGGAGATGGGACCAGAATCTTCTTCCTCATCTTTTTCAATTTTCTCTTCCTCTATATCTTCTTCATCATATAGCTTGCGCAACATTTTTGGAAACAACTGAATTCAAACAAACTTAGCAGAATTTTTTTTTTGAACAAGAACTTAGTCACACCCAATCGGAACTAGGCTCTGATACCACTTATGATACGTGTATGGGCTTGATTTAGTGAGTGGGGTAATTTTTAGGTAAATTTAGAGAGAATATCAACCACAAATGATATGTGAATGGAAAGAAATGGATAGATTAGTAACAACTCAAAACCTATTAAGTTGTATACCGGTGAAATCAATCCAAGACCTATTGGATTGAGTTCGTATCAAGTCAAGAACACGTCCTAACAAGATAATTTGCGAATTATAACAATAATTCCAATTGAACAAACACTTTTTTCTTAAAAATTCGTCTATTCACTTTCCCATGCATAAACTTGGCTTTATATGAAGCCTTTATTACAAACATGGTGGTTACAAGCCAACCAACCAATTATTCATTAAAACTAGTAAATGAAATTGAAGGAAACTCTTGAAATAACACAAAAAAAATCTACCACACTTAAGAATGACAAAAAAAACGTCCATGTCTTCAATTAGTCTTCAATTGCTAGTAATTGGTTATGAGAAGATGTAGAGTGTAACTCCCAAGGGTTAAAGAGAACCATGAATGATAAGAGTGTAACTCCGAAAGTTTAAAGAGATCAATAAATGATTATAGTGTAACTCCCAAAGTTTAAAGATAGCCATCAATGATACCCTTCCAAATGCTTCCATAATCACCCTAGCTTTGAATCCATCAATAAATGAAGTCTTGGATTTATTAAACTTTTATTAATTTAATTATGAAAACCCTAATCCATCAACTATGTCACCATGCATACCCCATAGGACATTAAGCCCAAACAACTTTCTAGCCCAACATTAAGCTACCCATAGCCTTTTGGGCCTTCATTATCCATATACGGATCATTCCCTCCTTCTTCGAAAGGAATTGTCCTCAATTCAGTAAGAACCAAATTGTGTTGTTCCCCATACGAACCTTCCCTAATAGCAAGTCTTGAAAACAAATTTTTATTGCATAATGTGACCTTTTCTTTATTCCAACTTGGTCTTTTCTCCACATACACATGTTCTTCTTCAAATAACTCAAATAACTCGCCAAATTCAATCCTAACCGTATCTTCCATTTGTGGATGAAAAACCACTTCCATACATTCCCATGAACTCGACCCTGCAAATTAACCTTGCAATAATTTAAATGGTTAATTGTAGTCATTTTAAAGAATGGATCATGGTTTGTATTTGTAAGTTGATGAGCAGTACGCCTCAATATCATGGTTTCCCAATTTAAGGCACACCAAAAGAATATGAGTCCAAACTTCATGAGCATCCTCCCATGTAAATACTTGGGCCTTAGATCTTCATATTGATTAATTCTTTCTTCTTTGCTCGTAGAAAGATGGTTTGTAAAAAGATGGATACCATCGTTCGTCTTTCTTTCACCACAAACTTCAAGCCTTCGCTCTTGGTGTTTTTGAACAACGAATGAAGAATTAATTTAAGATATCTTTTGTTTGTGGACAACACAAAAAATTGGCATACGAATTGTCACACAATGTCTTTTTTCGTGACTGATTGCTACCACCATGACCACATCTTGTTTTGGAAATCATCATATCGCCTTTTGGAGCGTACAAAATTCTGCCATCATCTAAAAATAATTGGTCTTCCTGTTTTTGAGTCTTGCGTGAGAAGTCTACATCTCCCAATTGCACAAAACTTTTTATCAAAAGTAATATGCATGTGTTTTTTCTCCTTTTGATCAATTAACGAAGACAAAACAAAAACATCACTATCAAGATCATAATTAGTAAAATCCAACCTCTCACCATACTTCTTCTTGTCACTAAGGCCTTCAAAATGCAAAATATAAGCATTCCATGGCATCCAAAGTGTAAAAATCTCCCACACATTGAAACGAAAATAAAGATGAAAAATGGAAATCCCCCACACTTTAGAAAAGGAATTGTGTTCATAAAAGATATGAGAACCTGAATTTTTGTGGCACTTATAGTCATTGGTTCTCAAGGTTGTGAGCTCTCGGAATGATTTTAGTTGTTCAACAAAAATCACCATTTCTTCAACAATTTTGTTCATATCAACAAAATTAATTTCTTCCACAATTGCCTCAACAATTTCATCTCCGATCACAAAATTAGTTCCTTCTTCAATTTCTTCAATAAATTCCTCTTCATCCAAGAAATTTATTTTTTCACAAAATTCCCCTTCTCCATCGGTGTCGGAGATGGGACCAGAATCTTCTTCCTCATCTTTTTCAATTTTCTCTTCCTCTATATCTTCTTCATCATATAGCTTGCGCAACATTTTTGGAAAACAACTGAATTCAAACAAACTTAGCAGAATTTTTTTTTTGAACAAGAACTTAGTTACACCCAATCGGAACTAGGCTCTAATACCACTTATGATACGTGTATGGGCTTGATTTAGTGAGTGGGGTAATTTTTAGGTAAATTAAGAGAGAATATCAACCACAAATAGATTAGTAAAAACTCAAAAACCTATTAAGTTGTATACCGGTGAAATCAATCCAAGACCTATTGGATTGAGTTCGTATCAAGTCAAGAACACGTCCTAACAAGATAATTTGCGAATTATAACAATAATTCCAATTGAACAAACGCTTTTTTCTTAAAAATTCGTCTATTCACTTTCCCATGCATAAACTTGGCTTTATATGAAGCCTTTATTACAAACATGGTGGTTACAAGCCAACCAACCAATTATTCATTAAAACTAGTAAATGAAATTTAAGGAAACTCTTGAAATAACACAAAAAAAAGTCTACCACACTTAAGAATGACAAAAAAAACATCCATGTCTTCAATTAGTCTTCAATTGCTAGTAATTGGTTATGAGAAGATCTAGAGTGTAACTCCCAAGGTTAAAGAGAACCATCAATGATAAGAGTGTAACTCCGAAAGTTTAAAGAGATCCATAAATGATAATAGTGTAACTCCAAAGTTTAAAGATAGCCATCAATGATACCCTTCCAAATGCTTCCATAATCACCCTAGCTTTGAATCCATCAATAAATGAAGTCTTGGATTTATTAAACTTTTATTAATTTAATTATGAAAACCCTAATCCATCAACTATGTCACCATGCATACCCCATAGGACATTAAGCCCAAACAACTTTCTAGCCCAACATTAAGCTACCCATAGCCTTTTGGGCCTTCATTATCCATATACGGATCATTCCCTCCTTCTTCGAAAGGAATTGTCCTCAATTCAGTAAGAACCAAATTGTGTTGTTCCCCATACGAACCTTCCCTAACAGCAAGTCTTGAAAACAAATTTTTATTGCATAATGTGACCTTTTCTTTATTCCAACTTGGTCTTTTCTCCACATACACATGTTCTTCTTCAAATAACTCAAATAACTCGCCAAATTCAATCCTAACCGTATCTTCCATTTGTGGATGAAAAACCACTTTCATACATTCCCATGAACTCGACCCTGCAAATTAACCTTGCAATAATTTAAATGGTTAATCGTAGTCATTTTAAAGAATGGATCATGGTTTGTATTTGTAAGTTGATGAGCAGTACGCCTCAATATCATGGTTTCCCAATTTAAGGCACACCAAAAGAATATGAGTCCAAACTTCATGAGCATCCTCCCATGTAAATACTTGGGCCTTAGATCTTCATATTGATTAATTCTTTCTTCTTTGCTCGTAGAAAGATGGTTTGTAAAAAGATGGATACCATCGTTCGTCTTTCTTTCACCACAAACTTCAAGCCTTCCCTCTTGGTGTTTTTGAACAACGAATGAAGAATTAATTAAGATATCTTTTGTTTGTGGACAACACAAAAAATTGGCATACGAATTGTCACACAATGTCTTTTTTCGTGACTGATTGCTACCACCATGACCACATCTTGTTTTGGAAATCATCATATCGCCTTTTGGAGCGTACAAAATTCTGCCATCATCTAAAAATAATTGGTCTTGCTGTTTTTGAGTCTTGCGTGAGAAGTCTACATCTCCAATTGCACAAAACTTTTTATCAAAAGTAATATGCATGTGTTTTTTCTCCTTTTGATCAATTAACGAAGACAAAACAAAAACATCACTATCAAGATCATAATTAGTAAAATCCAACCTCTCACCATACTTCTTCTTGTCACTAAGGCCTTCAAAATGCAAAATATAAGCATTCCATGGCATCCAAAGTGTAAAAATCTCCCACACATTGAAACGAAAATAAAGATGAAAAATGGAAATCCCCCACACTTTAGAAAAGGAATTGTGTTCATAAAAGATATGAGAACCTGAATTTTTGTGGCACTTATAGTCATTGGTTCTCAAGGTTGTGAGCTCTCGGAATGATTTTAGTTGTTCAACAAAAATCACCATTTCTTCAACAATTTTGTGCATATCAACAAAATTGATTTCTTCCACAATTGCCTCAACAATTTCATCTCCGATCACAAAATTAGTTCCTTCTTCAATTTCTTCAATAAATTCCTCTTCAACCAAGAAATTTATTTTTTCACAAAATTCCCCTTCTCCATCGGTGTCGTAGATGGGACCGGAATCTTCTTCCTCATCTTTTTCAATTTTCTCTTCCTCTATATCTTCTTCATCATATAGCTTGCGCAACATTTTTGGACAACAACTGAATTCAAACAAACTTAGCAGAATTTTTTTTTTGAACAAGAACTTAGTTACACCCAATCGGAACTAGGCTCTGATACCACTTATGATACGTGTATGGGCTTGATTTAGTGAGTGGGGTAATTTTTAGGTAAATTAAGACAGAATATCAACCACAAATGATATGTGAATGGAAAGAAAAGGATAGATTAGTAACAACTCAAAACCTATTAAGTTGTATACCGGTGAAATCAATCCAAGACCTATTGGATTGAGTTCGTATCAAGTCAAGAACACGTCCTAACAAGATAATTTGCGAATTATAACAATAATTCCAATTGACCAAAATGCTTTTTTCTTAAAAATTCATCTATTCACTTTCCCATGCATAAACTTGGCTTTATATGAAGCCTTTATTACAAACATGGTGGTTACAAGCCAACCAACCAATTATTCATTAAAACTAGTAAATGAAATTTAAGGAAACTCTTGAAATAACACAAAAAAAAGTCTACCACACTTAAGAATGACCCAAAAAAACGTCCATGTCTTCAATTAGTCTTCAATTGCTAGTAATTGGTTATGAAAAGATGTAGAGTGTAACTCCCAAGGGTTAAAGAGAACCATGAATGATAAGAGTGTAACTCCGAAAGTTTAAAGAGATCAATAAATGATAATAGTGTAACTCCCAAAGTTTAAAGATAGCCATCAATGATACCCTTCCAAATGCTTCCATAATCACCCTAGCTTTGAATCCATCAATAAATGAAGTCTTGGATTTATTAAACTTTTATTAATTTAATTATGAAAACCCTAATCCATCAACTATGTCACCATGCATACCCCATAGGACATTAAGCCCAAACAACTTTGTAGCCCAACATTAAGCTACCCATAGCCTTTTGGGCCTTCATTATCCATATACGGATCATTCCCTCCTTCTTCGAAAGGAATTGTCCTCAATTCAGTAAGAACCAAATTGTGTTGTTCCCCCATACGAACCTTCCCTGACAGCAAGTCTTGAAAACAAATTTTTATTGCATAATGTGACCTTTTATTTATTCCAACTTGGTCTTTTCTCCACATACACATGTTCTTCTTCAAATAACTCAAATAACTTGCCAAATTCAATCCTAACCGTATCTTCCATTTGTGGATGAAAAACCACTTTCATACATTCCCATGAACTCGACCCTGCAAATTAACCTTGCAATAATTTAAATGGTTAATTGTAGTCATTTTAAAGAATGGATCATGGTTTGTATTTGTAAGTTGATGAGCAGTACACCTCAATATCATGGTTTCCCAATTTAAGGCACACCAAAAGAATATGAGTCCAAACTTCATGAGCATCCTCCCATGTAAATACTTGGGCCTTAGATCTTCATATTGATTAATTCTTTCTTCTTTGCTCGTAGAAAGATGGTTTGTAAAAAGATGGATACCATCGTTCGTCTTTCTTTCACCACAAACTTCAAGCCTTCCCTCTTGGTGTTTTTGAACAACGAATGAAGAATTAATTAAGATATATTTTGTTTGTGGACAACACAAAAAATTGGCATACGAATTGTCACACATTGTCTTTTTTCGTGACTGATTGCTACCACCATGAACACATCTTGTTTTGGAAATCATCATATCGCCTTTTGGAGCATACAAAATTCTGCCATCATCTAAAAATAATTGGTCTTGCTGTTTTTGAGTCTTGAGTGAGAAGTCTACATCTCTAATTGCACAAAACTTTTTATCAAAAGTAATATGCATGTGTTTTTTCTCCTTTTGATCAATTAACGAAGACAAAACAAAAACATCACTATCAAGATCATAATTAGTAAAATCCAACCTCTCACTACTTCTTCTTGTCACTAAGGCCTTCAAAATGCAAAATATAAGCATTCCATGGCATCCAAAGTGTAAAAATCCCCACACATTGAAACGAAAATAAAGATGAAAATGGAAATCCCCCACACTTTAGAAAAGGAATTGTGTTCATAAAAGATATGAGAACCTGAATTTTTGTGGCACTTATAGTCATTGGTTCTCAAGGTTGTGAGCTCTCGGAATGATTTTAGTTGTTCAACAAAAATCACCATTTCTTCAACAATTTTGTGCATATCAACAAAATTGATTTCTTCCACAATTGCCTCAACAATTTCATCTCCGATCACAAAATTAGTTCCTTGTTCAATTTCTTAAATAAATTCCTCTTTAACCAAGAAATTTATTTTTTCACAAAATTCCCCTTCTCCATCGGTGTCGTAGATGCGACCGGAATCTTCTTCCTCATCTTTTTCAATTTTCTCTTCCTCTATATCTTCTTCATCATATAGCTTGCGCAACATTTTTGGACAACAACTGAATTCAAACAAACTTAGCAGAATTTTTTTTTTGAACAAGAACTTAGTTACACCCAATCGGAACTAGGCTCTGATACCACTTATGATACGTGTATGGGCTTGATTTAGTGAGTGGGGTAATTTTTAGGTAAATTAAGAGAGAATATCAACCACAAATGATATGTGAATGGAAAGAAATGGATAGATTAGTAACAACTCAAAACCTATTAAGTTGTATACCGGTGAAATCAATCCAAGACCTATTAGATTGAGTTCGTATCAAGTCAAGAACACATCCTAACAAGATAATTTGTGAATTATAACAATAATTCCATTTGAACAAATGCTTTTTTCTTAAAAATTCGTCTATTCACTTTCCCATGCATAAACTTGGCTTTATATGAAGCCTTTATTACAAACATGGTGGTTACAAGCCAACCAACCAATTATTCATTAAAACTAGTAAATGAAATTTAAGGAAACTCTTGAAATAACACAAAAAAAACGTCTACCACACTTAAGAATGACAAAAAAACGTCCATGTCTTCAATTAGTCTTCAATGGCTAGTAATTGGTTATGAGAAGATGTAGAGTGTAACTCCTAAGGATTAAAGAGAACCATCAATGATAAGAGTGTAACTCCCAAAGTTTAAAGGGATCCATCAATGATAATAGTGTAACTCCCAAAGTTTAAAGAGAGCCATCAATGATACCCTTCCAAATGCTTCCATAATCACCCTAGCTTTGAATCCATCAATAAATGAAGTCTTGGATTTATTAAACTTTTATTAGTTTAATTATGAAAACCCTAATCCATCAACTATGTCACCATGCATACCCCATAGGCCATTAAGCCCAAACAACTTTCTAGCCCAACATTAAGCTACCCATAGCCTTTTGGGCCTTCATTATCCATATACGGATCACCAACTCCTCGTCGAAATTCAAATTTACTTCTCAAGACGCTCTACGTATCGCTACATTTTTCACACAAGATTGCAGACTGGCTCTCCTTCCTTTAACTTGCAAGCCATTAGGGCTTTGACGGCCTCATACTTTTCTTGACGAACTCTCTTGTGAAACTTTTCCACAAGAACCAAGTTCATCTTGTAAGGCCAGTAGTCCTCATAGAATCTTTGCAACTCAAGAACCATCATAACAACCATGATGCAAGCAACCTTTGTTGTGTCGTCATAATGTTTCTTGTAGGAAATGCTTTCTTCAGGAGTAGTAGTGGATTCATCGATTTCATTAAGGTGTTTTTCAAGGACATAATTTTTGCCCACGAATCAAAGAGTTATCTAGATGTTGTGCATCCAATAATTGTAATTGGTGCCATCCAATGTCACCTTGCACACGATTGAAAAGAGGGAGACGTTTGAGTTGATGGTGGAGGTTTATGGAGCAGAAGCATCACCAGAAGTAGGCATATGTACCGAAAAATGTAGTTTTAGTTAGATGACATAAGTGCTTAATATTTTAACCCATAATAAATATTTAAGGCTAGGATCCAATATAGCAATTCATAACTAAGAAGAGGGATGTCGTAATCTTATCGCAAATGTATGAAGGTATGTAAAACAATTCACCTATTTCAAACTATGAAACTCCTAGATCTTTTGAGATTCATTGAATCTTATCAATGACATGTTTAATCTCAAATTATACTCTTCTATTTGTAACTGGGATACCTAGGATCACAAACAAGATATGAATAATCATGCAAACACGGTTGGTAACCTTGATGTCTTTTATTATCGATAATTAGCATACTTTTCACATTTTCCTAAAGTAACTAGAGTGAGATTCTTTAAAGAAAATTCTAGTACTTTGATATCGTTATACTTATTAATGAGATTATGTCATATCAAATTCGTTCGACTAACGACCCTCCGTTATATATGGGAGTGGTGGTTGAGAGTGGACACCCAATGACAGTCATTTTATATATAGTTTCCTTATACCTCCCCCCCCCCCCCCTCTCACTTTATAGTGTGGCTTCGCGAATGAGGCACACTAGAAATTTGACTGAATTGTCTTATACATATAATATATTAAACTTGTAATAATATATTAGGTGTATTTTAAAACTTTCAAAAAATAATAGGTTTAATATTAAATTTTTGAAAATTGATAAACTTAATTTGATTTAAAATTAAACCAGTTATGCTTTAATCTTTATCTTTTAATTAACAATTAAGTGAGTTAATTTAAATAACAAGAGGATTAAATAATTATTTAATATTAAATAGGAGTGAACATATTAACCGAAAAACTGAACAATAACCAAATTAACCAACATAATCAAACCATTACTAAAATATATGGTTCAGTTTCTAATTTTGATTAACCGAATACATATGGTTCGGTTATGATTTTCATCAAAAACTGAACCATTAAAAAACCGAATTGAACCAATAATAATAATAATAATAATAATAATAATAATAATAATAATAATAATAATGTTGTTAATATAATATAATATTAAATATATGGTATGTAATTATATTGAGGATTGAAAACTAAAGGGTTTTTATTTAGAGTTAGATAGGATAAGTAATATGCTATCAATATAATTTTATATACACAATCATTCACTTTTTATAACGATAGATATTGTGTTTTTCAAATTTTATAGAAAAATATTTTTATTTTTATGTCATCTTTGACCATTTGTATAAAACTAATTTTGGGATTGGGCACAATATGAAAGATCTTTTAGATGCACATATTCCTCCGGGATGGCGATTAGGACGTGGGCATAAGGGCCTTTATGTCACAATTAATAATTCGCTTCATTTTCAATTAGGCCTTGCTCTAGCTTCTTTAGGGGTTATTACTTTGTTTGGTAGATCAACACATGTACTCTTTGACGGGTTTTATACAAACAATCATATGTGTACATGCAACCCTAAATGGATCTATGTTTTCATTATTAGACATACAACTTTATGAACAAAAAAAGAAACATAACATGCATCTATGATTTTAGAAATTCATAAATAAGAATAGAATACATACCTTTTGTTCCTATATAGTAAAAACAACTAGTTCCTTGAATTTCCTTAGCTCTTGAAAGCAAGTACCAGAAGTGTAGTACCTCTAATGGCTCACAAACACACTTGAGTGAGACGATGAATATGAGAGAGAGGAGGGAGGGTAACAAGATCCAAATATCGGCTCGGCTAGGGTTTCTCCAAGGGGTGCCGATTTCTAATGCCTTAGGGTGCTATTTATACTTGAAGTCAACTAGGGTTTCAGGGTGGAAACCTTAATCCCTTAGCTTAGGGCATAAGCAAACCCATGGACTCCTTTCCTTAAGCCCTTGAACGAAAACTCCTAGATCCTTCTAGGATTTTCGACCAAGCCCTAATAAAGGTGGTCTAATGGCCCAAAGCCTCAACTATCAAATAATTACGAAACATCCATTGCACTTTTATTCAGTTCCTTTAATCACAAAACTAATTCCTAATTAATTTCTGATTAAATACTAATTAATAATATGATTCAAAATTAATATATTATTCATATAATATATTAACAAATCATATTTATACCCCAATTTATTATGTTTAACAATAAATCAGCCTCTCTCTCCTCAATAGTCATCTTGTCTAGTCACCAGTATGAAGGCAACCCAAAAGGACTATGCTAAAACTGGGTCAAGTACATATCAAATATAGTTATAGACTTAGACACTAATCCAACACTCTTTACCTGCTTATGCCTTATGCATTTATAGCACAAGACTTTACTCTACTTAAGCTGCATTATATACTCATCACCAATACATTGCATGATTCATCATAACAGGTACTTTTGTGCATGGAGCTATATGTTTTTATTAGGGATTACAATGCGAAACAGAATGAGGATAATGTATTGGCATGAATGTTAGAACATAAAGAAGCTATCATATCTCATTTAACTTGGGCTATGGTTAACCGATCTTAACCATTAACAAGCTAAAACCATTAACAAAAACCAATATTAATAGCTCCCCAATAGAAATACATTAACCACATGTAATGGTTATGGTTTGGTTTTAACCAATAACCGAACCAAACTGCCCTATACACACCCCTACTATTAAACTACTAATCAAATAATTTAAATTTAATCCTTATCCAATCCCAAATAAATTTCAAAAATTAGGGTATTAGGATTATCTAATTTTAATTATTCTACTTTATCCAATTAAAACCATAATTATCAAATAATAAAACCCTAACAAGCCCTAGTGATTTTCAAAATCAAAGGAGGAGGCTAGGGTCTCAAGAACCTTAGCCCAAGTTGAAAATTCCAAGCCTTAGGGTTTAATTTTCTATAAACCCAAATTTGATCTATTCAACTATTATGCATATTTAGTTAAAACCATTGGGCTCTGATACCACTAAGAGGTTTTATTGGTTACTAATATCATGTGGAAGAAAATAACTTAACTCTTAAGTTCACATGCAACCTAATTGGATCTATGGTTTCACTGTTGAATGTTATAATCTATGAACATCAAAGAACCATATGAAACTATAGTTTAATCGAAATTCATAAGAGGGTTAGGGTTTACATACTTTCTGATTATTCTTGTAAATAACCAATGAAATCTTTCTTCAAAAGCTCTTGGAGGAAAGCACCATAAATCTCATTCCTTTCATGATTAACACTCAAACCCTAGAAACTAAGGAAACTTAAAGATATATATATATATATATATATATATATATATATATATATATATATATATATATATATAGAGAGAGAGAGAGAGAGAGAAAGAAATAAGAGAAGAGAAGAGAATGATTTTAGGCTATTCCATTAAGTGGAGGAGTGGCGAAAAATATGAAGGGTTAAGGCCTTATTTATAGCTGCACTTGGAAACCCTAGAAACCCTAATCCGAATATAATACTATTATTTCAAATTAGGTAATTATTTAATCTCCTAATTGTCTTTAAGGGATATTCTAGAAACCCTAGAATATGTCTCCCAAGCCATCAAGCACCTAGGAGAAGGTTATGGAGCCTTTTTGTTAACTACTGAACAATTACAACTTAGGTCATTGCACTTTTAATTAATCTAATTAATCCTAAAATTATTTCTATTTAATTTTTGATTAATTCTTAATTAAATAATAATATTTCTAACTAATATATTATTCTCATAATATATTAACCAATTATTTATTTCAATTTATTAACCATATAATAAATCAATAATTCAATCTCTCTCTAAAAGTCATCTTATTCAATTAGCAGGTTTGAGGGCAATCCAAAAGGAATTTGCTAATAGCTTAAACATATGACAATTTAGTTATTGTCTTAGACACCTAATCCAACAAATGATGGTGCCACCCTGGCTGGGTGTTATTCATTTCAGGAAGTAAGGAAAGTTAGCCCCAGACTTATTGGACCATTTCGAGTGATTTCTGGGGCTGGCAAGGTGGCCTACCAGTTGGATTTACCAGAGGAGCTCAACCAAATTCACAACACTTTCCATGTCTCTCAGATTTGGAAGTTCTTAGTGGATGATTTAGCGGTGATGTCTTTAGACGACATTCAGATTGATGATCGACTAAATTATATGGAGAGACCGAAAGCCATATTAGATAGAAAGATGAAGACCTTGCGCAATAAGGTTATTGGTTTGGTAAAGATACAATGGCAACATCGGGAGGGTTCCAAGTGGACTTAGAAACCCAATGAGGAATTGTGTGAGCATTATCCAGAGCTATTTTGATGCATTGGATTTCGAAGTTAAATCTGATTCATGTTGGAGAGGATTGTAACGCTCGTTTCAATTCTCGGTATATAATTCTCTTTACTGATTAAGAAAAGTATAAAAATATTGATAATAATAAGAATAAACTTTATAATAATAAGAATAATAATAATATTATTATTATTATTATTTAAAACAAATCACATTATTAGTTTATTAAGTTTTATAAGTCAAGGGGTATTATGTAATTTTGGGAAGTTGTTTTGAAGAAGGGTTTGATTTTGGGGTAGATTTCGTTAGCATGTCAATCACCATGGATCATTATTGCCAAATTCTGATTTCGCTGTCTTCTTCCTTGATTCATCAGATGCGCATACTGCCAGGTTTCTTTTCCCATTTTGGCATCCGCAAATCTCGAATCTATTAAAGTAAAAACGTCTCATTCTCTCTTATATCCATCCCTTGAACTTATAGATTGATTCCTTCTTCTTTCTTGGTTGTAAATCATATGAACTAGTTGAGGTTCTCTCTTGGGTTCCATAGCTTGGGTTTGTGAAGGTTTTGTTGCTGTGAAACTCGACCAATCCATTTCCAAGGTATAATTATGTCTCACTCCGTCCCTAATAACTTTTTGGTCCAATCCCTAGTGTTGTAGTGGCCGGAGGTACCTCTGGCAGCCATCAACAGCCGAGAAAACAGAATAGCATGAGATTTCAGTTTTTGGAAGTCTATTTTTTCGGATTTAGTGGGTTCTAAGCCTTTTTAATTGTCTTTAATGACATGTTTTACCCCCTTTAACACTTAAAGTCTGGATTGGTCGGCTAGAATCATGAATGTAGCCTCAAATACTTACAAAATCTCAAAAACACTCATATTTCAGGAAATTTTTGCTAATAAATGAGTTTGATTCTTTTCAATCGTGTGAATTTATTTTTACAACTAGATTAGGTTGCTAGGATTGATTCTTGGCTTCCTTAACTTTGCTTGGTCTTTTCTTTATAGAAATTAAATTATCCCCTACCTTTTATTCCCACAATTATTCTTATCCATTAAAATTATGATAAATCACAATTCAATTTTGTTTTATTTGATACATTTCCAATATAATCTTAATGAGTTAGTTAAAAAAATATGGAATGTTAACATTTGTCATAATTTTATTGGGTGAAAATATTGTAGGCATAAAAAATAGAAATCTAGGATCAAGAAAACAACATTTTTTATCTTGTTTTTCCCTAAAAACCCTAGAACCGAAGAGCTCTACTTTTTGACTAATTTGGTCCATACAATTTGATTTGAACTAAGTTTTTGCTGTTAAAACATAACCATGTCATGTATTACAAGTTTGGTCGGGTATGGCTGCTTAAAACGAGAAGAAAGCCTTGGTTTAGGGTTTTGTTTTATATTTGGTGTGTGTATGTGTTTGGTGTGAACTTGGTGTGTAACCTAAGAATGTGTTTGGAAACATACCCTAATACTTATATAAAAGTATAACTAAAATACAAGTTTTGTATTATCGTGAAATAATCTAAATAAAGTTATTGGTCTAGATGTAGGTGTTTGGTAAGGGAAAAGCTCATCTAGCTCCTGTTGGTAGGGTCATTAAGATTCAACTTTAATTCAAATGAGTTTTCTCACTATACTTTGTACTACCATGTAGATTCTCTATATGTTAGGATGTTGGCATGCTGTAGTGATTTGTTAGACAGGTAAATTTGTTAATAACTGCATGTGACTATTTGTTTGGTTATTGTCTGTTGTTGTATATGTCGACATATTATGGATAGGTTAAGGGTTGTCTATCTGTGTGCTGAAGGTCAAAATACCCGAGCGATCCAATTGATAATATAGATCTGAAGGGAGGGTCCAACTAAATGTTGTAGTCTTAGTGAGCAGTCGAGCTGAATGATGTAGGCTCAGGTGGCAATTCCACCCCTGTGATGTAGGCCTTGCATGAATGCATTGCATATGTATTGTTGTATGAAGTATTATGTGAAACTCACTAAGATGTGGTTTATATTTGTGGATTTAAATGTCTCAAGTACTTCTAATGATCATGAAAAGACGAATGTGTGTCTATACACATTATGAGTGGTCTTCATAATTTTAAGAGAAGTTATGTTGTGATACTCTGATTTTTATGATATATTATGAAAGTGATTTCGATGATGTTTGGTTTTATGAAAATGACTTTTATATCCTTTTAAAATGGAAAAAAAATATCATGGTTTTTGGAATGTTACATATTATGACCAAATTCATTTCACAATTTTAAACTTTTATAGAATTAAACTTTACACTTGAGTTTAATAAATATTTTTAAAAATCACTAATGTATGGGATGTCTCATATCATTAATCAATAACACCCCATAGTATATTTAGAATCCATACATCAAATTGTAAGGTTCTTTTGGTGTAGCATATTATGATCAGAATACACCGCTTGTATTAATATCCATACGAGGAGTACAAACTTTTGCTAGTCACCAGCCAATAAAGAAAGCCTTTCTTCTTGTTTCTCCATTGCCTTGATCGACGAACCAAACAGGGGAGAGGAAGGCCCCAAAATAGGAGAGAGGACATGAGAGTGTAGTTACGACCTTTCGTGTTACAACTTTCATGATTGTAAGGTTCTTTTGGTGTAGCATATTGTGATCAGAATACACCACTTGTATTAATACCCATACGAGGAGTACATCCGTTCTTGGTAGCCTTCCTTTATATTTTTTCTCTACTTTCAAAGCCCCTATCTCTATTATTGAAAAGTCGGAAAAAATTAGGCGTCAATTTCTTTGGGGAGGCAGCGACAACAAACATAAGATTTGTTGGGTGTCTTGGAGTTGCGCTCTTGGGCCAAAGGAAAAGGGTGGACTTGGTATTGGTTCTCTTCGATCCTTGAATCTATCGCTTCTTACCAAATGGCTTTGGAGATTCAAGAATCAACCGAATGCACTATGGAGACAGGTGGTCTGTGGTATTCATAACTTGAGCAGGAAACCGATTCATAACCTTGTTAAGAAGTCCCTCACTGGCGTATGGTCTGAGATCTCGCAGGTGGTGACCATCCTGGAGAGTGAAAGGATTAATTTTAATTCTGTTTTTGGAGTTAAGATTATGGCTGGATCTAATACGTTATTTTGGCTTGATGATTGGGAGGGGGTGGCTTGTTTGACTCTCGATTTCCTAGCCTTTCGATCCTTGACAAGAAAAAGTCATGTTTCGTTTCGGAGCGTATTCTCCCAAATGAGTTCAAATGGGCCTGGAAGAGGAATGCTTCAAGTGATCAGGAACTGGCGGATATGAATTCCCTTAGCGGGCTTATATCTAATGTGGTCACATCTCATGGTTTGGACGGGTAGATTTCTTTGCTTTCCGAAGATGGGGTGTTTCATGTGCCTGAGCTTCGATGTCTTATTGATTCCAAGATAACCTCACCTATGGTGAATCCCACTGTATGGTTTCACATTCCCCCCTTAAAAGTTATTTGCTTCGTTTGGAGGGCTTTCATTGATCGGATTCCGACGGTGATGGCTTTGTCTAAAAGAGGTGTTCGTGTCGGGGCTAATTCCAGTCATCTATGCTCCTCAGGGGTTGATGACACTGATCATTTATTCACGGGTTGCTCTTTTGCCGGAGATATTTGGAAATGGTTGTGCCATTGGTGCGGTATTCCCTTTCGATCGTTCAATAACGTCTCGTCATTAGTGAAGTTTGCGGCAAATTGGGGTCAATGCCCAAAGAAAAAGAGAATTTTTCTGGTGATTGTTTATGGATTCCTATGGTGTATTTGGAAAGCGAGGAACGAAAAGGTGTTTAGATCTACTAGTGCTAATGCTCCTAAGGTGGTGGATAATATTCTTGCTTTGGTGTTTGATTGGGTTAAACATAGGGGGAAGTTTAATAATTGGAATTAGTATGTTTGAGTTTGTAATCCTTTTGACATTTTGTAGCTGTGTTGTTTATGTTTTTGCCCTGCCTTTGCCTCGTTAGGCTGTGGCTTTAATAAAATTCCCCGCCGGTTCAAAAAAAAATAAGTGCCATAATAAAAGTGTCTCCAACGGATAGACATGGAATTTTAAATGATGGTACATAAATTTCAATGATAAATAAATAATTAGCAATACTATTTTCAAAGAAAGTACTTAAATAGAAACACTGTACTTCATTTTTGTTTGCTAGGATTGGTTGTGTTGGATACTTGTATGCCCATCTCTTTCGTTCAACCAACACCACACATACTTTCTTTTATGATAGTACTCGATTAAATACTTTCAAAAATTCAACAAACCATATCTCAAAGAATTGTAAGTTTTAATACGTTTATTAATTAATATTTATAATTCTAATTCTTCCTTTATGATAGTGGTCGATTAAATACTTTCAAAAATTCAACAAACCTTATCT